ATATACACTTCCAATCTACATGGCTCTGGGAAACACTGGGATCTCTGTTTACACTTTATCTATCACACATCCCATCTCTAGAAATAGCCCTATTTCTATCTATATCCAGATCCACATGTCTATTCACTTTAAAAAATTTTTATAATATCGAAATATGTATTTACTTGTTTAGTTTCATGTGTATGGAGTGCTTGTATGAATTATGTGCGCCACGGGGCCATTCCCAGTCTCCTTAACAGGAGTTTCCCCAGACACCTCTGCCGTTGGCAGGTTCCTGAGGCATATCTGAGGTGCTCCCAACACGTCCACGCGGTCCTCTCTTGCTCCCAAATGTGGCTTCTACTCTGCTTTTCCACAGCCCACAGAAGGGTGCTGCCACAGCTTTGGGGACTGTGCAGTCCCATGGAGAATCTTCCTTGCCCAAGTGCTTGACACAGCACATGGCACAGAGAAAAAATGAGGGCATGGAAACCACATGGAAGAATTCATGGGGCCAGCATGACACTGGTGCCAGGCTGGATGGAGGCAAAGGACCACCATATGCTGGGGAACGGACACAGTGTGGTGTCTTTCTCTGCCCTGTGCTTGCCTGCTGACTGTAAGCCTGCATTCCCAGGACCTCTGGCTACTCCCTCCTACATTTTCAAGCCATCAAAATTCTTTAAAATTATATATGTGTGCACGGGCACCACAGTGTACATGCGGAGGTCGGAAGACAGCCTTTGTGAGTTGGTTCTGTATCAAACTTGGGTCTTTAGGGGTGAAGCATCTTTACCCACAAGGCCCATCTCACAGCCCCCACCCCAGGGCATTTTAAAAGTCCCCTTTACACCCTGCACAAGGCAAATGTCTTAGTTCAGTTTATAATTTTAAAGTATGACTTTTTGCTTTTAATTGTTGCATCTCTGTATGTGTATGCCACGTATGTGGGGATGCCTATGGAGTCCAGAAGAGGGTGACAGAGTCCCCTGGAGCTGGGGTCACAGATAATTGTGAGCCACCAAGCAGGTGCTCTTGGAACCAAACTCTTGGTCCTCTGGAAGAGCAGCAAGAACTCTTAACCACCAGCCTCCTCTCCAGCCTCCCTTTTTCACCAATGTCTAATTCTACACCATTAGCCTCCGACCTCAGAAAAAAATCAGCACAAATAAAGAAATCTACCTCCAAATTCTATGGAAATAGTAACTTTGGTTCTAATATTTAAATTAACGTATTCAGCAAATGTGTCCTGAACTGAACTAACACACCACTCCCTATTGAAGAATGGTAGTGCAGACGTGTATGTTAGTATGTATGTGTGCATGTGTGTACATCCCTGCCTCATCTACCCCACATTGCAGGTGGAGCAGAAACTGGAACAAGTCAATACTGAGAAGCCAGCCGTCCAGATCCCCTGCTTCCGAAGGGGAGAGCAGGTAACTTTGAGCTCTACAGGAGCTGCCCTTTTTCTGTTAGGAGGGAAGCTGCAGCTCTGTGCAAAGACCTCATGACCTTCTGTGGCTTAAATGTCACTCAAGCTACTGTTTGGATGCAGTGGGTAGGGAAGTAGGAGAGTGACAGGCCATGGGGGCGATGCCACTGGGCAAAGGAAAGGATGCGTAGAGAGGAGCAGATCCCTGCTGTAGTCAAGGACAGTCAGCCAGTGCTTCAAGGTGAACATGGAGTAGCCTAGACTGGATGGGAAAGCTGCAAAACAAAACAAAACAAACAAACAAACAAACAAACAACAACAACAACAACAAAAAAAAACCTGCAGGGCCTGAGTGTAGGAAGGGGACCAGGCATTTCAGCTTACTAATGACTGTCTAGTTTCAGATGCCAATTAGAAATGATTGGTGACTTCATCCAGCTCTCCTGCAGAGGCCAATGAAATTGTGCAAAATTATGAGGAGCGTCCCTTCCCTTCCTGTGTGGACTGCTTTTGACTGACTGGGCAACTTCCAGCCTTGTTGGTATAGAGGAATCTTCTGAAATCTGCCTACCAGACTAGCAGAAACCAGCAAGTTCAATGCCACATGTCAACCAAATTGTCTCTTGATATTCAGCCTCTCAAATGGCATCTGGAGCCATCTGAACACTTTCTTGCATCCTTTGTTAACTCAGGAGTTAAATTAAATCTTCAAATCAAGTCCCCTGCCTCATGTGGGAGTCATAATTTGACCACTTAATTGACAATGCCCCGCGGTGATGCTAGGCAGTCAGTTAGCTATGTGAACATGAACTTCTTTGACAAGCAGGGGAAAGATGTGGCCTGAAGGGACTACTCCTAGCCAGGAGACCGACGGCTGCATGGGTCAGGGTTGTGCTCTCTGCATCACCTCCTAGAGTTTCCACAGCTACCCATAAGACTGCACACATCGGTGATGGGCACCTTCCTCCATTTTACAGAGAAGAACGAGAGGCTGGAAATGCCAGAGACCGTGGGGTTGAATCCAGTCAGATGGCAGGGAACCTCATTTCATACCAGGGCTTCTCTGGCTGGAGGTTTGCTGATACCAGGAGACCTCTTTCATCCATGGCTGGGGTGGAGAGAGAGGGATCAGGGCAGACCCAGGACTCTTTGATGCACAGAACAGCCTCACAGCAAGACTAACCAGGCCCAAGATTTTGTTTGGGTCAAGGCTGAGAAATTCTGGTCTAGCCTGCAACATGGCTACCTCTAGGCAAGTGGCCTCTTCTTCCATGCACCTTCATGATTCTTCTCAGGCCCACAGTTGTTTACATGTTTATAAGGCTTTGCCTGATGTCTGTTTCACCCTCCACACTGTAGGCTCCATGCTCACTCACTACTAAATTCTTAGTGCCAGGTTGAGTAATAGGCAGATACTGTGCTTACACTGAGACTGCGTTCAGATACATCTGTGTGCATCCTAGGGAAACCTCCAGTGGGGCTAGAGAGAGGCTAAGAGCTCTTGCTGATCTTGGAGAGGATCTCAGCTTGTTTTCCAGAACCCACAGGGTGCTCCAATCTCAGGGGATCTGACTCCCTTTTCTGGCTTCTGCAGGTACTGCACATATGTCTAAAAGGCAAAAAACACTCATAGGCATGAAATAAAAACAAAATAAAACAAAAACAAAATAAACAAACAAACAAACAAAAAAACAAAACAAAAAAAAAAAAAAAAAAAAAAAAAAAAAAAAAAAAAAAGAAAGAAAAGAAAATCTCCAGGTAGGGTAGTGTGACAGAGAATCAGTAGGTGGAGTGGCATCTGCATGTTACAAATTTGTTTTGCTCATGAAGCATGTTATTGCATTTAGCTTAAGAAATTAGAACAAGAAGACCTGAAAGCTAGCCTTCAAACTTCAAGATTGCACTAATTTTTCATTGTCCTTGAAGCTAATCAAGCCTGTGGAAGCAGCATCACCAAACTGACTAAATGAGACTCCCAATTAACTCAAACAGATGGTTGAAATTTTCCAGGTGACTTTCCACATTAATTCAGCATGTTGGCTGGACCAGGCCCCTGGAGGCTTGGCAGGGATTGGCTGAGAAGGAAATGATGACATAGGGGATCTTCAGGAGAGATGTAAACACAATAACCCAATAACCTGAGATGTTTTATCTCAGCAAAGTTATCATCAGCATTGACTAGTCTTTCTCAACTAGAGCACATGGAGTGAGGACTGTCCAGTGATGGGCCTTCAGAGTCCTGCCCTAGGAAGCTGTGGGGCTCAAGTTTATGAGAACTCAGTGGGGGGGGGGGTACCTAATCCTGTCTGGCAAGGCAGAAGACCAGTCTAGGACAAGAAGAGAAAGGAAGAAGCTAGCACTGGCATTCCAAGCCTGGTCTTGCTCCATTTCCTCCCAGGGACGCCATGACATCAGGTTTCATTGAAGAAAGGGTTGAAGGGGTTCAGTGGAATCCTGCAGGGGAGGGATGCCAAGGCCTCTCTGAAGAGCATTATCTTCATTCCTTCCTCAGGTGTCCAAGGCCCCTGCACAATTCTACTGGGCTCCACCATCTTCCCTTCTGCCCCAGTGCACTGGGACAGATGTCGAATGAGTACTCCTGCTTGGTGACTCTCCATGGGAGTGAAGAAAACTATGCATCAGGGGGAAAAGGGATGCTGTATCAGGAAGAGGGGAGTGGAGGGTGGGCATGTGGTGAACCCTCCCAGGGGAGTGAGAGCAGCCGGGCCAAGCTCTTGCCCTTCCAGAAGCTGTAAGAGACTTTTAATAACAAGGAGATTTGTAAGTGACTGAGACTCCAAATTGGGTGTTCTCGGCTTAAACAGCTTCATTTGTAGATATGCAGAGTCTTAGATGTGAGGGCACTGGGATACTGTATACACACACAACTCTCTCTCTGCTTCTCTCTCTCTCTCTCTCCTCTCCTCCCCCCACCTTTGTACTCCCCAGTCTATGGAACTGGATTCTAGATGGCATCAGTCCCCAGGACAAAGCTGATATTCATATCATGTCACTTAGATGGATCCCATTTTTCTGAACTAGAAAGTCTGTACAAAGTAGATGTTGGTGGTGATGGACCAACACGATTTTCCACACGCCTTTTGAATCACATGGCTGCCACCCACTGGGAGGTCTGGCTTTCTTAGGGTAGGACACATCAGGCAATTACAGGGGCTGCCCAGCTAGAGGTCCTCTAAAATCCTGAAAATGGGATGCTGCTCATTGAATTCTGCTTCCAGAATGTTCTTGCACCAGGTCATCCAGAGGATGTCATCTGTGTACTGTGTGAATGACCCTGCTGAGACAGGGGCTGAACCGACAAGCTTTTCCAGAGGACTCTCCCTCTTATGGGGAAGATTTTCTACCCTGATATAAGGTAAGGAATAAAAATATATGCTGCCTGGTGTATCACCTTCATCTTCACTGGGAAAACAAACCACATGAGCACATGGCTGGAAAGCACATGAGAAAGGCTGGAAGAACAAGGTGCTTAGATACTAGCCAGTGCTACAAGATAGCCCATTCTAGAAATGCTGCATTAATGGCTTCCCTTTGAATCTATTCCTAACCCATGGTGCAAGAAACCAACCTCATTCGAGGGTCATCAGGTGGTATCATCTCCAGGTCGTGGGTTGGTCCACTCAAGCCGATGACGTGAAGGGAGATGCTGGGGTTTTCACTGCCAGCCTGCAAAGTGAGGGGACAGAGCTGTGAGGGAGCAGCGTGAGTGAGTGGCCATAATGCCTGGAGCCCCACTTGGCTTCACATCTTGTCTGGAAGACTCATATCTGGGCACTGTGAAGCTTGATACTAAAGATCATACGTTGCGTTGAGGAAAGATCATTGTGAGTGTGTGTGTGCATATGTGTATATGTGTATGTTTGCACATGTTTAGAGGCTGGAGGACAACACTGGGTATTGTGAATCCTTAGATACTATCCACTTTCTTCTCTTCAGACAGCATCTCTCACTTGTTTGGAGCACACCAAAGCTAGCTTATCAGTAAGGCTCAGGGATTTTGTCAGTGCTGTGTTAGCTGCGGTCTATGCAAGATGTGGCGGGTACCTTTACTGCCAGAAGTGAGATCTGTGCTCACTGCCTTGGTCTACGGTGCCTGACCCAATAGCATGCTGCCGGCTTGGAGATGTGGTCATTGCCATTGCCAGCTCTGATACACAATTTTCCTTGTCTCCTAGTCCCACCTATCTTGCTTTCCTATTGGCCAACAGTGCTTTATTCATTAACCAATAAGAGAAACATTTACAGAATGACATCTCCCATCAGTGCTGGGTCACAACTCTACCCTGTCACACCCAGGTTTTTATGTGGGGATCAAACTCTAGGCCTCATGCTTACACGGCAAGCATTTTATCAAGTGAGCTCTCTTCAGCCCAAATATACAGGTTTTTAAAAAGGCAAAGAGATATCTGGGTCAACTCTGCCTTCCCAGGAATCTTGTCATCTGCCCATTCCATCCATTAACTCAGTCTGCCAGTGTCAGTGGTGCTTGGTGAGCATGAGGGGGAAGAAAACTACGCAGGACAGAGAGAGGTGTGGGTCATGGAGAGGAGAGTGGAGCATGCACAGGTGGTAAAGAACCCTGATGTGTGAGCATAGCTTACAGCAGCATCTTCTTCAATAAGGGGCCATGGTCATGGTCAGTTTCAGGCACCCTCCTCCTCTTGGGGGAGATGTGGCTCACCAGGGCTGCTATGACCTGATGTCCTCACCCCTTTGGACAAATCAAGGAAGGAACCTATCAGATTTTAGATTGTCACTTACAAGGACACCTGTAAGGATATATGTATATATGTGTGCACATGTATGTATGGTGTGTATGTGTGTGTGTATATGCATGTGAGTATTAGGGGATATAGAGGAGCTACGGAGATTTGTACTTAGTCTCATATGCTATATCTAACTGAGTCCAGCTATCACCCACACTTTGTATTACTGTGGAGATGAGTGGGGAAAAGAGCAGAGACACCCAGTCAATGGCAAATCCATGCTAGGATGTCCCAGGAGCAGAAAGGAAACAAGGCTGGGTCCTCAGTGAGCCATGCTCCTCCATTCTGGGATCCCAACAGGCACTGATCACATTCCCAAAAGCTACTGGTAGAAGTCTATACCACCAGATAGACTGAACGAGTCACCCCAAATCCCTGTGCTGGAGCTCTTGCCTTAGGTGGATGGTATTTGGAAGTGTGCTTTTTGGGTGGTGATTCGGGTTGGTAGGGCCTTATGATGGCATTAGTGTCATTAGGATACCAGTGCTCTCATCAGCCTTGTGAAGAAATAATGGGATGTGACTCAGTTGCCTAGTGAACACAGAGCACTGTTTTCAGTCTCCAGCAGTGTGTCAACTAGCTATGCATGCCTGTAATCCCAGCACTTGGGAGGTAAAGGATCAGAAGATCAGAGGCTCAAGTTTATCCTCAGCTACACAGAGAGTTTTAGGCCAGCCTGGGACATTTGAGACTCTGTTTTGAAAAATGGTACCTAAGAGAAGACATTAGTCTGCCAACAAGGAAGACTTGGATCGTCAACATCCCAATTTCAGACATCTATCCTCTGTGAGGATGACACTACTGTGGTCCCAGTAGACTGAATCAATGATACTCTGTTTGACAGCAGGAAGACATGCTTCCTAGGTGTTTGTTTCCTCTGGCCCATGGTTTTGGGAACCATGTTGAGCCCATCTACTTCATTCTCATCATGGGTCCTCCACAGGCCCAGGGACTTCTCACCATACGGAAGCATGCATGGCTAGCTTTCAGACAAACCAGGAGGGTGAGGAGGCCTCAGCTCAAATGTTCCCTGGTAAGGGCAGGGATGAGGCCCAGCAACAAGGCAGGGGCCCAGCAGTAAGAATGTCATGCCTACTTGTCCACTGGCCTTAAAGCAATCTGGTGATGTCATCAGGAAGTAGGTTAGACATCTGTGTGCACCTCAGGAGCTGGACCTGTTCCTGGATGCCAGCCTCCAGGTGAGGAGGTCATGTAATTTCTCCATCAGGACCTGCCCTGTGCTTAGATGCTGTGATTTGATGCAGAGTTGAGGTTGGATGCCCCTCCCACTTTACTGTATCCTTCATTGCTGTTCCACTGGCTCAGGCCTGTCTTTGGTCTCCATAACAAAATATCAAAGGCCAGGTGGCTTATAAACAACAGGGTGTAAGCTTCCTTATGGCTTTGGAGGTGGGAGTCTAAGATCAAGGTTTTTGTTGATTTCCTGTCTGGTGAGGACCTGGGCTTCATAGATGGATCCTGCTCATTGTCTCCTCACATGAATGGAATGGAAGACAGAGGCCTCTGGGGGCTTCCTTCATATGACAGTAACCTCAATCACTAGGGCTTTTTACCCACAGCCTGATCACCTCCCAAGAACCCCACCATATGAATATTGGGGAACACAAGCTCTCAGACCAATGACTATGGACAACATAGCCTCTCCACAGTCCAGGAACCCAGGACATAGAGAATCCTTCTAACCTTCTAGAAGCTGCATTCTATAAGGAGCCAGGAGTGCAGGCTTTTTGTCACCTGTAGTCACTGGATGGGGAGATGTATTTATTTTACTTATAATCAATAAACATTCAATTATTTAAAATAAAGTAAACCCGCCAACAGATTCACCTCAACAAAAAAATGGGACTTTCATGCATCTTGAGTATTTACAGTGCTGCTGGCAAAGACGTCAGATTATAGGACCTGTACACTTGGAACTAGTGGTGGAATGAGCTCATGAGTGACTTGGCTTTGACTGAGCCCACTCTTTGCCTACCTTAGGATAGTGGTAGGGCTTCACAGTGGGGTAGACAGAGCCTGTGTAGGTTGGCAGCTCCATAAGGGGAACCCGGGAGTCATTGATGGTGGCATATGCAAGCCTCGTGCCATCTGGTGACCACCAATGCGCGATGTGGCTCTTCAAAATCTCCTCTGTGGGAAAACAAAGCAGAGAATGGTGAGCAGAAGCTGATGCTGGGGAGATGGGGCTGCAGGGAACTGCAGGGGCTGCAGGGGCTGCAGGGGCTGCAGGGGCTGCAGGGAACTACAGGGCTGCAGGGACTGCAGGGGCTGCAGGGACTGCAGGGGCTGCAAGGGACTGCAGGGCTGCAGGGACTGCAGGGGTTGCAGGGGCTGCAGGGGCTGCAGGGGACTACAGGGCTGCAGGGACTGCAGGGGCTGCAGAGACTGCAGGGACTTCAGGGGCTGCAGGGACTGCAGGGGCTGCAGGGGACTACAGGGCTGCAGGGACTGCAGGGGTTGCAGGGGCTGCAAGGGACTGCAGGGGATTATAGGGACTGCAGGGGCTGCAGGGGACTGCAGGGGGCTGCAGGGGACTACAGGGACTGCAGGGGCTGCAGAGGCTGCAGGGGACTGCAGGGCTGCAGGGGGCTGCAGGGGACTACAGGGACTGCAGGGGCTGCAGGGGCTGCAGGGGACTACAGGGCTGCAGGGACTGCAGGGATTGCAGGGGCTGCAAGGGACTGCAGGGGATTATAGGGACTGCAGGGATTGCAGGGGCTGCAGGGGGCTGCAGTGGATTTTAAGGAGGTACAGGGAGCTGCAGGGGATTATAAGGACTGCAGGGATCTTCAGGGGACTGCAGGGGGCTGCATACTCCTGGGTTTTGGCCAGGGTCAAGTGGCACCTTGGGCCAGTGTGTCTGCTTTTGCCTCTAAGCTTTTGTTCCGCTCAGAAGTGTCTGATATCCACAGTAAAGCCTGACACAGTAAACCAAAGCTCAGCCAAACACAGGCTGATTGTGCAAAATTAGCTTCTGTATAAATGTGATCCCTGGGCCTAAGGAGTACTTTGTTTATTCTCCTTAACTGGGTAATCATTGGATTTTAATTATCTCATTCAACTTCCTACCTTTTCTTGGTAATATTTGATGCATATTACAAAGTCCTTTCTCTGCTAATGAGAGCTTTTGAGTTGGACTATTAAACAGCTGTAGATGTGTGTGTGTGTGTGTGTGTGTGTGCGCGCGCATGTGTGTGCGCATGTGTGTGCGCATGTGTGTATGTGTGCGTGTGTGTGCGCGTGTGTGTATGTGAATGTGTGTACAGGTACACACGTGCATATGCTGTGTGGTATGTGTGGACACTAGAGGAGAACCTCACATATTCTTTAGATGCTGTTCACCTCGCTTTTTGAGACAGGGTCTCTCATTGGCCTGGAGGTCACCAAGTAGGTTAAGTTAGCTGGCCAGCAAATCCTAGGGACCTTTGTATCTCTACCTCCCTGGGATTCTAAGCACATGCCACTAGGCTTGGCTTGTTTTACTTTTTTTTTTTTTTTTTCTTGAGACAGGGTCTCACTAGTTAGCCCTGACTGGCCTGAACTCACTATGTAGACTAGGCTGGTCTGAACTCACTATGTAGACCAGGCTGGTCACTAGCTCACACAGCTCTGCCCCAAGCTCTGCTGGGTTTAAAGGTGTGCACTGTCATGCCCAGCTACACTGGATTTTTTTTCCCTATATGAATTCTGAGGATTGAAATCAGGTCCCTTGTACTGACTGACCCATGCCCCTAGTCAGGCAGACTGTCATTATCAATGTGACTTTACAAAGGACACCAGAGGAAAGCAGTTCACACTGTGGCGTGTTCATGAAGACAGGCCAGGGGAGAGAGGAAGGAAGCTACAGGGAGTCTCAGCCTTAGACAACAGGTGAATCTTCAGGGCGGTGAGGCCCTGTGTGGCCACATGTACTCCTCTACCACAGAGCAGGAAGGAGGGCGTGTCCTCAGGCTGCACGTGTGCCTCATCCTTAAACCAACTTACCTTCACTGTGTGGCTATAACGCAAAATGGACCCATCCTAGAAAGGACGGAGATGGTAATGCCAATATTCTAACACACAGGCATTTCTAGTAACCAGAGTTAGTGAGATGCTTTTTGAGGGAGAGAGGGAAAAGCCCCCCCCCCCTTTCTCAGTTTACTTTTGGGATAGGGCTTTGCCTACATAGTTCAGACTGGTCTTATACTAGTGACCCTCCTGCCTCCATCCCTCAAGTGCTGGGATGCGCTCTCTCTCTCTCTCTCTCTCTCTCTCTCTCTCTCTCTCTCTCTCTCTCTCTCTCTCTGTGTATGTGTGTGTGTATACACATCTAGAGAAGATGCTGCCCAACTATTACAAGCCAGAAGCTTGGAATCTGCACCCCCAGGATCTTCTCTGGTACAGAGACAGACTCAAAGTATTAAGAAGTCCCCCTGGATTGTCTTTATCATGATGACCCCCAATGGCAATGGAGGGTTCCACTCAGGAGGCCACTGTTACCCCAACCTGCTCTTTGTTCCTGGAGAGGTAGTGATCCAACTCAGGAAGCTGAAGACACACAGAAAAGGAAAATTCATGTGTATACTCGGCTGAGAACAGAGAAAGCTGAAATGGTTGGGAATTACAGGAATGGTTGGGACTCAGACACAGGCACGGACAGGAAGATGCATTGGGAGGACCGGGGCTGTGACAGTCTCAGGGCCTGGCGATGGAGAACAGACTGTGGGGGTTAAGCTTACTGGGAGGACTCAGAGCTCACCAGTCCTAACCCTAGTGCCACTCATGGCATTTCACAGCCCAGTCGGAGGACTTGTGAGTCTCTCTGAGAGCTGGCTGCATCCTGGAGGGGCCTTCTGATGGTGTGGCTTTTCTCTGCTTTGTCCTCCCTGTCCTGCTGATGGTGGACTTAGGGTCAGACTGAAGGAAATTACGAACTTCACCAAGGATCATTATCCTCTCCCACACTTCCTCTGTCCCCCAGAGAACCTTCCCACAGACTTCTGCAGCCTGTGCTGAGTCCCTACTGCATGTGGTATAGCTTGCCTGAGATTCCAGCCTTAGACATGCATACCAGTGTCAAGGTGACTTTGCCATCCAGGGCAGCCTAGGGAGCACAGAGCAGTCAGAGGGAGTTTAAGGGCTCAGCCTATGACTTGAACCTGTCTGTCTATTTTAAGTCCCCATCTATGAAATCAAAGGACTCAGTGCAGCCCCCTGGTACCTACTCTGGTTGTGTTGGCATCTCACAGTGTTTGTCCATCCCCATAGGGCATTTCTAGTGCCTGTGAGGGCACAGAGGTGAGGGGAGGAGAGAAGAGGAGCAGGAAGAGGAGGAGGAGGAAAGGACAGGCCAGGCTTCAGGGCTTGTAATTTTCTGGGTCTTCTGTGGCAGAAGGAGTAACTCTGATGTGCAAGATTGGAATGAGGTCTATGCAGCATCACCTGATCTGCAGGCGCGCTCACAAGGTGCAGTGAGTAATGAGCCCTGTAGATGGTCTCTGGACAACACAGCCACCTTCTAAACACAATGCACTGCAGGGCCAGAAGGGAAGGGACCAATTGGCAGTCACTGGGGCCTAGCAGGGCACAGCTGGGGCAGAAGGTCAGGAGGCAGCAGAAGTACCTCACAGCTGGCTTCGGTTTCAGGACATCCAATAGGAGCCAGCCTAGGCAAACCCAGTAGAAAGGTGGCAGGCCACACAGACACAGAGCCAGTGAAGAGACAGGCATAGTTGCAGCAAAGCCCTGGAGATTCTTCTGAACCCAGAGTAACTTCCCTAGATCTCTGGGATGACAGTGCCAGCCTCATGCAAACCAGACCACTCTCCATCTCTTCCTCCTCCAACATCTCACTGTGCACATCCCACATCTAGACTGGTCCTCAGCCTGGTAGGAAATGATACTTTAGCCTGAGCAGCACAGCCAAGGAGGGTTGCACCCAGACAAAGAGAATGGGATGTCTATCAATTCCATCACCAAGTGCCAGGGAGAAGTGAGCTCCCAGAGAATATTAATGCCACAAGCAGTTCTCGTGTTGTGGGGAAGGCTAGCCCACACTCCTGCTGAGCTACCGGCAATGGATGTACTCTGGTGAGAGATTGTCATTTCTTTCATTGTTAGTTGTATATCCCACGGTGAGTCCTGGGGGCCCCAATATAGCTTAAAGCCAGTGGCCACACAGATAGTCATAGTTAAAACTTGGGTCACAAAACAAAAATGGAATGAAACAAAGTAGGAAAGGAGAGGGGTGGAAACAGGTGGGAGGGAGGAAAAGAGGGGCATGGAAACATACAGAATACATTCTATAAAAATGAATTTATTTAATTAATAAAAATTATTTTAAAAATTGTCAATTTACCCTTGAACTCATTCAGACTACTTAATGTAGGAATGCCTGTGTGATGGTAAAATGTATTATTCCTGGTAAAAGAGAACCTTTGGAGTTGTAACAGCTGCACTAGAACCTGTGGTGCATGGGGTAAGAATGACCCATGTCAGGGAAGGGTGGGCATATGTCGGTTCCTGTACACTGCACCTCGTGGTAAGACTGGGGCATTTAGAAAGGCATTCTAGGGATGAAGAGATCACTTAGTTGATACAGTGTGAGGTTGAAGCACTGGTCTGTTCCCCAGAAAAAATACGTATAATAAGTCTGGAATGGTGGCATATGCTTGCATTCCCCTGGCTGTGGTGGTACAAGCAGGCAGATCTCTGGGGCTCACTGGTCAGGCAACCACTTTAGCCTACTTGGTGATGAGGGTCTCTTATCTCACATAAAAGGGGGTGACATTTAAACAGCACTAGGTGTTACTCTCTGGCCTCCACATGCACACAAAGACACACACACATGTGTACCTGCACACAAGGAACACATACACAGAGGTGGGTCTATCCTGTCACTCCAAATCGCAGACCCTACAACACTAGGATCGCAGACTTGACCACTCCTCTACCCTCTTGTCCTCTGGCACACTGTTTGTTGGTGGATTTTGTTTGCTTGATTTTCATGTTTCTGTGTACTGGCTGCTCATGAAGGAAATAATTAAGTGTAAGACACTAAGAGGGAAATATGGGGCAGATGGAACCCCGACAACATAGTATCTTCTGAATCTTCTGCAAACAGTTTCTCCCGGATCCCTTGTCTAATGAGG